AGAATATGGAGAAACATACGTGGAAACTAGAAAGGTATGAAAACCGTTTGCATGCACTTGTAAATTCAACTTTGCACTTGAAATAAAGGAGAATATGGAGAAACGTAGAAACTAGAAAGGTATGAAAACCGTTTGCATGCACTTGTAGTAAAATAATCACCATGGAATTAGCATACAAGAGCGTGTGGCAGAAAAATCAATTTTATTCTTCGCATGCATGATTTTTAATGTTGAAATTAAGCTGTTCTAACTGTCAATGTTGTTACTTTTAAAATGATTCAAATAAAAAAAACAATAAAGGAAATGAAATCGGTGATCAGCTTTAGAATTTTGATCGGAAAAGAATCAAGACTGGGACTTTCACCAGGATGGACGAGAATGCGTCCCTACTGCCTTGTCCTTTGGAACCATTCTACGGCCCAGGCAAAGCTAGGTAGAAGTTCATGCAGAGCACAAGTTTTCTACGTTATCTTATTAAATACATATATGCATATCGCTAGGTTGCAGTTAACCACGTTCTTTAAAATCATGCCTGTTGTTGATACTGAAACTTACGATTCGTGATAGGTGGTCGATATGATCATCATTGTAATGTCAATATTTTAATGTATCATAGATCCTTAAATTGTCATCTATTTCATGATGCAGAACTTGAACGAACAGATAACATGCATTATTGGTAATGATGGATAGGAAACCAATTTGGAGTGTTATGACCAATCAAATGTCAAGTGTATATTATATAACAATTTGCACAGTTTTATTTCAAATGGAAAAAACTCAACTACAAATACAATATATTAAACATAAACACTTAATGAGATTATATATAAAATCACAAATCACTGATTTATTTCTTGAAGATAGAGGCTTGCAGAAGCAATCTCCTAAGATAGAAATTCGTCCCTGCACCAGTGCAACAGTTCAATGGACGTCTATCTTGCAGGATACAACTATCTAATCCAAGTTCTTGCACTCGAACTCGGATTCTTGGCGAATTGGTTGTGGTGTTTCTCTGTGAACTGTGAAGGATTTGATGGAAGATTGTTCTTCTTGTTTCTGATCCGACAACCATATATAATGGCATAAATGAGCAGTTGAAACCGTTCATATTTATCTTTAAGAACGGTTACAACCGTTCATGTGATCGGTTTTATCATTTCAGGAAAAAAAAAAAAAAAAAAAAAAAAACTGAATGAAAAATTCAAAAACGTAAAAATGATACTTGGGTTTTTCGTCCATCCGAGCCCAAGAGCCCCAAGGCCCATCTTTGACATTTAATATATGCACCCAAACCCTCCAAGTCTCAGGCCCAAGGTTCATGGCTTTGGCTCAATTCATTTCAAACTATAAATGAGTGAACTCACTTATAAAGAAGAAGTTATAAAGTGGTTTGGGCGATGTGGGACTTGGAGTCCCACATACAACTCAAGTTCCAACGTGGAGTTCGACGAAGAAAGAAGAAGGTAACTGATTGGTGGCGGCAATCGTTACAAATTCGGTTCAAACGTGAAAACCATGGTAGTCCGTTACAAAACTGTAAGGTGAGCATGAGAGATTTTTCAATGTGATCGGTACATGAGATGGTACATCATGTGTCACTGCACAAATGATGAGATATGTGTGCTAAAAAGTTAATAACTTAAAAAATAAAATTTCTCGCCACTTCTATTAAAACACGTGATGTACCACTTGTGTAACCGTCACAATTAAAAATTTCTCGGTCAGCAATAAAAGATGCATGAAACACATTACTTTAGATAATTCCCTCTAAACTGATGCACGTTTGTCTCACAGCCTCCATAGAAGTTTCTCATATGGAGCTCCTGGTTAAATATGGTCAAACAAAATCTGTACGTAAAAGGATAGCAATCCTAACATTTGTATACGTGGTAACATGCTATTCGACAAATGCGTTATTTTCATCATGTTAGCAGGTCCCTTTCCATGTTAGCAAACCTGTTACCTAAATGCATTAAATGTTACTTTTTTTTTAATTTTGAAAAAGAAAAATTTAACAAAAATTAAATGAAATGATACATGAGAAATGATTAAATGATTAAATTTATAGTAAGCATACATCATAGTTATAATAGTAAGCAAAAATGTTCTCGTGTCCTATTTTCACATAGCACACGTAAGTCCATGCAACCCTAACTCCGATGAAAATTTTGCACCAAGTGATTAAACGTTCTCAAAAAATTTGCATTAAGTGCTTAAACACACAAAATGTGTTTAAATATATCTTGTGGTAGGATATTAGATTTACATCCATGCATTCCTTGTTCAAAACTTCTCAAACCACAATATCATTCTAATAATTTCGAACTTTTCCCACAAAACAACTGCCCACTGGAACCACAGGGGTAGTACAAGATAATATCTGATGTTATAAAACAAAAAATTAGAAGAAAAAAAATAATGTTATAAGACCATATTTTTAATTACATTGGTCTACCATCTTATTTGACAATTGATGCATACAACTAACTAAATTTATTATTCACATGACATGTATATGTTATATGATATATCAATGTGCCACAAAAATACAATCTCTCTAGCATTTAAAAAAAAATTGAATTAGAAGGAGTGAAGGACGGTGAGTCGGCGCCCACGCAGACGCTTGAGAGAGAACGCTTTTCGGCCGCAGGCCCGGTACTAGTACGAATTGAATGATCAAATCCTTTGACAAAACAAAAGCAGCTTGTGGTCAAAAATGAAAACACGCTGGATAATTTTATTCTTTAGAATAAACAAAATTAAACAAAGGGCATTTTTTCATCTTATTAAAAAAAAAAAATCATCATTTTTCAAAATATATATTTTTTAATTCAAAACTAAGAACATCTCCTGAGAATTTTTTTTTTAATTTAAAAACTTGTTTAGTATAAAATCTACAATTGTTTTTAAAGAAACAAATCTCATCCTACACCGAGAACTTCTAAATTCAACATAAAGTAAGAGGAGAAAGAGCATCAGAGGAGAGAGCACATCAAAGGAGAGAGAGGAGAGAGGAGAAAGAAATAGGAGAGAGGATAGAAGAGAGAGAGAGAGAGAGAGAGAGAGAGAGAGAGGACAGAGAAATAGAAGAGGATAAGGATGTATAGAGAAGATTGGAAAGGAAAGAGAAATGGTAGAGATAGAAGAGAAAGGTTAGGTGTGAGAGGAAAAGGAAGAGAGGAAGGGGAACTTTAAATTTAAAACTCTAAATATGCTAAGTCTTAAGTTTATTTTGAGTTCGGTTTTTGAAAAAAGTTTTACCAAATAAGTTTTCAACACTTAGAACTTGAAAAGTGTTTTTGAGTTTAAAAGTTGAATTCGAGTAGAATACCAAACAAACCTAAAATTGCTAACTTGTAATTGGAGAAAAGGATATAAAACGAATTCCACATGCTAATAAAGCTTAATATTATTAGTGTGTTATTATTCTTTATTTATTTATTAGCAAAGCAATATCGATTCAAAACTACAACAATGCAAGGGAATGAGGTTTTTTCTTTATTTTTTAGATGATCGATAGTTTATTCTAAAAAATTGATCTAAACTATAAAGAAGAGATTCAATCTTTGACGCATGGAGGAGAACACATTGCCGTAGTACCAGTAGGCTTAGCTAAATTCACATATATGCGGAAATAGAACTTCAAAGTACAAAAAGCAGACACAATTTTCTAATCAATTGTCTTAACTCATAGCTATAAACCAGTAAACTGAGCTAAATTCACATATCTGGAAATAAAAATTCAGGACACAATTTTATAAACAATTGTCTTAACTTACAGCTGTAAACTAGGACTTAGCTAAGTTCACATATGTGGAAATAAAAATTCAACGAAGGTGCAAAAAGAAAACACCATTTTCTAAGAGTTGTCTAACTTACAGGTATAAATCAGCAAACTTAGGCCTAGTTTCGTACTGAGGTAATTCTGAAAAAAACTGGGAGCTGTTTTTGTGTTCGGTAAACATTCAGCTTCAGTTTTTTTTCATAGTTTTGAGTGAAAAAAAGCCAAAAACAAGAAGCTGCAAAACCCAGCTTTGAAAAATCAGTTTTTTTTCACATCTGTTTCACATAAAAGTTTACCAAACACTATAATACTGCTTTTTTTTTTTTTTCAAAAGCACTTTTACAAAAAAGTTTACCAAACACTCTGCTGCTTTAAAGATCACATCAAAAAAAAGAGGGGATATGGCTACTTATTCTCACAGCATAGCAGAAGCAGCTTTTTTTCAAAGCACAACAATACCAAACCAGCCCTTAGCTCAATTCACATACGCTAAAATAAAAATTCAACGAAGGTACAACAAGCAGACACAATTTTCTAATCAATTGTCTTAACTCACAGTTGTAAAGCTGCACGACAAACATTTAAGGCTCATTTGGAAGTTCTTTTAAAATAACTTAAAACACTTTTACAAAAAATGTTTTTGGATTCTAGAAGCACTTGAAATGTTTCATATAAGAAGCACCAATTATGTGCTTCTTGTGAAAAACAATTATGACTGTTCTACTAAGATTCATTTGCGTTTTTACTGAGAACTAGTTTAAAAAACATTTTCATTAAAAACGTTTTCTGCCATCTTAAGAATACTTCCGAACAAGTTCTAAGTTACTAGCTACTACAATAAAAAGTAAGGTGGTGCATCCACACACTCATTTAAGTTTTCACACATGTCTTGTTAATTTATATCATTTAATCTTCTTCAATTCATACAATCCGACAATTAAAATTTGACAAGATGTGTGAGAAGTAAAGAAGTGTGTGTGAATAGCACACCTCCTAAAAAGTATAGAGGAGAAAAAGGAATACCTTCAAATCCATTCAAAGGAAGCCAAGGCCCGCCCTTACTAAGACGACGCCAAGTCATCAATTAAATAAGCCACCCCATAGAAGTTCTGTAGGTCATGGTCAAACTTTGGAGTTCCGACATTTTTGAAGCGATTCAGCGTCGTCCCTCCTCCTCCTCCTCTATAAATACTCCCTCCATTCTCTTCTTATTACTCACAACTCACAAAAATATAAGCCTGCATATTACTACGCACGTTAAGAAAGACAGAGAAATGGAGATCATCATTCGATTTTTCATCATCGCCATCGTCATGGCGCTGCTGTACGTCTTTTGCAGTTTAATATTTTCCTTGTGGGTTTTTCCAGCTCTTGCATATAGGAAGCTCAAGAAAAATGGGTTAGATGGTCCATCTCCAAGTTTTCCATTCGGAAATATCAGTGAGATGAAAAAGGAGAACATCAATGTTAAAAGCTCAAGTATCTCCCATGACATACACTCGACTCTCTTTCCCTTTTTTGCTCGCTGGCAAAATTCTTTCGGTACGTATACTCACACGCTTATGGGCCCCTTTGATAATCATCTCAGAACACTTTTGCACGTTCAAATATTCTTGTCAATAAAAGGTATAAAATGATTGATTTGTGTTTGTGTATATTTGCAGGAAAGATGTTCGTTTATTGGTTGGGGACGGAGCCATTTTTGTACATAGCAGATCCAGAGCTACTGAAAAAACTGTCTACGGAGGTGACAGCAAAAAACTGGGGGAAGCCTGCGGTGTTCCGACGCGATAGAGAAGCGATGTTCGGTAATGGCCTAGTCATGTCCGAAGGCGATGACTGGGCCCGTCACCGCCATGTTATCACTCCTGCTTTTAACCCAACAAACTTGAAGGTATACATCTCTCTCTCTCTCTCTCTCTCTCTCTCTCTCTCTCTCTCTCTCTCTCTCTCTCTCTCTCTATATATATATATATATATATATATATATATCTCTCTCTCTCTCTCTATATATATATATATATATATATATATATATATCAAACAGAGAGTATCAAAATAAAGTACTTAATATATTTTTTTCATTATAAATTAATGACGATCAAGCTCTTACTAACTCAGGTTAATAAGAATAGGTATGGTGTATTTTTTAACTAGAATGTGTAATTCATAAACAAACCGGAAATAAGCAAGTATTATGTTCCACAAAAATAATATAAACCTTAATTAGTGAAGCACATTTGTTCTTCTAGTGCTTTAACTTTAACTTCTTTTTTTTATCAAACCCACTAAATTATATTTCACATTCAATCAATGGTATACAGGCAATGGCGAGCTTAATGGTGGAGACCACCAACAAAATGCTAGACAATTGGACGACCCTCGTAGATTCCGGCACTCAAGAATTTGATATCGAAAGAGAAATCACAGCAACCGCCGGAGAGATCATCGCCAAAACCAGCTTTGGCATCAGCTACCAAAGTGGCCGGCTAGTGTTCGAAAAACTAAGAGCCTTGCAAACGACACTATTCAAAACGATCCGTTTCGTGGGAGTTCCTTTCGGGAAAATGATGCACCCTAAGAAAGCCCTAGAGGCCAGAAAACTTGGGCAAGAAATTAACCAATTGTTCTTGTCACTAATTGACGAAAGACGCAAAATGATCACAGGGTCGGGGCCGCAGAACGACCTGCTTGGCTCGTTGCTTAAACAGAGTGAACATGGAGGGTTCACAAAGTCCTTAACTACAAAAGAAGTTGTGGATGAGTGCAAGACATTCTTCTTTGGAGGTCATGAGACAACTGCATTGGCAATCACATGGACAATGTTGCTCCTGGCCACCCACCAGGATTGGCAAGATCAGTTGAGAGAGGAGATTAGGGAAGTGGTCGGAGACAAAGAAATTGACGTGAATATGCTTTCTGGACTAAAGAAGGTAAACCTTTTTTTCCCCCTTTTTTCTTTTATTCAATAAGACACGTTATTTGAACTCCGTAAGATTGTACAATCACACATAAAAGATTGTTCATAATTTAAATGTGAACTTCAAGAATGCTTCTTTAATAAAAGACACGCTCCATAAACACTATCATGGGACAAACTAGTATACCCTTTTTTTTCTTTTTATACGTCACACATTTGTCTCGTCATATTATATCATGCATGTTATAAACTTATATATATCTGGTGCATCAGAATTTCTATAAAGATAAAGTCTAACGCTTATAATTCTATAAATATAGAACCAATGCATGGTTATGAAACTACGTGGACCAAATACCTAATAGCTTGGTCCTTAAATGTTGGTCCTGTAGAGATTTTTTCAGCATGTCCGAAATACAATCACATAAGTCATATGTAATTATACTAGTGGAGGGACACTTAAAAAAACTTTTTTCTACTAATATAATAACATATGACGTGACATCCCATAATTAATTTGGTTTATGAAGAGATTTTTCAATATGTTGAGAACACAACTCGCTACTAAGTATCATAATACAAGTGGTTAGATATACTTAAAGAAAAAAATTCAATCATTTGTATAAGAAACTTGATGTACCAAGCGGTTTTCTCGTCATATTGAAAAAAATCTCCTGTCTGAGCAAATATGCAACCCTAAAATCCTAAAATAAAAGAAGAAGAAAAAAAAGGTCAGACATATTTGGTCAAATGATCAGCGGTCAAACAACAGAGTGATACATTTCCACGCTCTTTGGCACGTGAGAAAGGTGCTCATGATATTCCCATTGCATCCTTTTTGCTCGATCGGAATACAATAACACGTCACTGTCACATATAATAACAGAGCAACAATTTTTTGTATGTGTGTGGATGCCACCTGGCAATACCCCAGTGGCTTCACCGTCCAATCAGTAATCAAGCATCTTAAGTTTTTAATAATGATTAGGGAACTAATAGACTCTGAATTTAATCGTGCAGATGGGATGGGTGATGAACGAAGTCTTGCGGCTATACCCTTCAGCACCAAATGCACAAAGGCAAGCCAAAGCCGACATTCAAGTGAACAACGACCTGTCGATTCCGAGTGGAACAAACATGTGGATTGACATCGTCGGCATGCACCATGACCCGGCCCTGTGGGGCGACGACGTCAATGAGTTCAAGCCGGAGAGGTTCAAGGACAACATCCACGGAGGGTGCAAGCACAAGATGGGGTACTTGCCTTTTGGGTTTGGAGGGAGAATGTGCATCGGTAGAAACTTGACTTTCTTGGAGTACAAGATAGTTCTAACCCTAATTCTATCTAGGTTTTCGTTTACCATCTCTCCAACATACTGCCATTCCCCTTCTATTGTCCTATCTCTGAGACCTTCCGACGGCCTGCCTCTAGTACTCCAACCCCTCTAGACACCTGGGCCCCACGTTTTTATCACTCCTAATTGCTATTGTATCTGGTATGTAGGAGCCCTAACCTTTTCCCCTCGCCCTTTTTTTGGTTTTTTTACCCCAACTTAGGACGAGTTTTATGTACGACAGTCCGCAAGCAGCTTTCTGGGTCACGGCCTGGTTATTACGCTATTATAGGGGGCCGGGTTTGGTGTGTGTAACCGCACCATCACGTGTCCTTAGACTATTTCTTAGAGTTTCTCCCTTCGCCTTAGGGTTATTCAATAAGTTTTTATTCGTTAATAATTGTTTTCAAGTGGCATTTCATTGTAAGCTATATTGAGTATTTGGAAATTAGTGGCATTGATATACTGAATAAAAGCAAAGGAAACAAATACCATTACATTTCAACGAGCAAAGAATACGACCGAACCGGTCTTTAATTTGTAGTCCTTCTTTCAGTGCAAAATATGTTACAAGTCTCAAGGGGACGACTCTTTTAGGACCCGAGGGTTTTATGTCACTATGAAGCCAGAAGATGAGTATAATCACAAGCATTACATATCCACGAGGTAGCGAGAAACGATCATTTTAATGCCATACAAACTATCCCTTAAGACTAGCTCACTCAATAACAGGGTTTAGCAAATTTGATTGTGATATTGCTATTCATATTAATCTGATCTCTGAGAACTAAAATGGAGTAACTCTAAAAAAGAGGTAAACTCGGTGGAAAGCGAACATGCATCCATTGCCTCTCATGTGTCGCCAAATGTTGCCAACTAATCTCATCGAGCAAGGAAATTAATCTTCAGGTCGTAGAACTTCTTCTTGGGAGGCTCCCCATCACCTTGGAAGACAGTATAGTGAATTCTCGATCAGCTTTTATAAGTATGGAGAAACGATCTCAGATTAAAAGGTACGTATATTAGGAAGTACGCATATCTCATATTATATGGCACTTATTTAACGTGAGTTGTGGTCTGATGTTGATTAATTAGTAGTCTACACTTTTTGTTTTAGAGTTAAAAATTCTCTCTTCTGGTTCATGCAGCTGCAAGATCAAATTGAAGACGGAGCTGAAGTAAAACCTTAAGTTCCATTACAATCGCGTATATGACACCAAATTTGAGTCTCAATCTTATTTGATCGATGTAAACAAGGTACTTTTGAGCGCTGTTTTTTTGTTTGAGTATGAAATTCTGTTACAACAGGGAAGTTAAGGATGCATTTTCGTCATACTAATTATCATGTAAACACGTTTAATTATTGGACGTTGCATTGTTTACTGCCATGGACGTTAGGACGTTAACACTGGAAAGCTGCATTAGGCATAAGTCAATTTTCTACTACATTAACAAAGATGTTTCGACCTTAGACATGACAACATCATATAAGGTTTTCATAGCTGACTTGAGCAATTGACAGACTACTAATTACTCAGATAAGAACGACACATAAAATATATTGCTCTAATCGAGCAACCTGGCTAATTCCTTCTTCACAAGACCCTTAGCCTGCTTTCTTGACAGGCCAATCTTTCCCAGGTCAGCAAGCTGAAAAAAAAAAATAAAACAAAAAGAAGCGGTTAGACGAAACTTTGGATTGAACTGAAAATACAGATAATTGGGGCACCTAAGAATTTTTATTTGAATTGAACTGACATGCAAATACATGAGTATTTGTATGGTTTTGTGTTTGAACTTTGGACTGTTTTCTAATCATGACGTAGACAATCATTGCTTTATCTGACAAAGTCTTGCAAACGAAATCTCTCCTCATAAATTTGAAATTCAAGGGTGGAGTTATTTTTATTTGTTTATCTGTAACTTTACGCCTTTACGGTTTCTGATATGGCTTCGACTCAACGAGGATGACTGCCCATTTCTTTCTTCTATGGCTTCGACTCCTGTGGTACAAAATGACTTGGTTTTTGTACCCGTGGTACCTCCACTTTTGCTGCCCGCTGTTTCTGATGGCCACCCAGAGTTGGCAACTATCACCCACGTTGCACTCTGCGCAGCCCGTGCCTCCTGCTGATGGGACTACACCAGAGACTGATGAGAAAGCTCTGCAGGGCTGTTATCTTGGGGTAAGAATGCTTGCTGGAAGATGTGACCAACGAAGCTTAATGATACTCGGAGCACCAAAGAATTTTTGTTTGAATTCATTTTTTTTTTTCTTCAGATGCATGGGCATTTGCATGGTTTTGTGTTTGGACTTTGGACTGTTTTCTCAAGCGTGACGCAACCAATCATTGCTTTATCTGAGAAAGCCTTCCAAACGAAATTTCTCCTGATTTCAAAATTAATCTTATATGGAGACTCTTTCTATTCACTTTTGGTGTTGCTCCACTTAATTCACTTTTGTAATGCAAAAGCAAGAAATTGATGGTAATCCTGAACTTTGAGAGTCTGATATGAAGAGAGGGCAGCAAGGACAGATAGATGAGCGGTGGAGACGAGAGAGAGGGCAGCGAGGAGGGAGAGATGAGTGGGGGATGGGACGTTTGAGAGTCTAAGACTCTGAGTCTGGCGAAGAGATTGAAAATTTAGGGTTTTTATTTTATTTTTTTTTTTTTAATTTTACATATATTAAATTAAATGGGTAAATAAATACTCGTTATAACCGTAGATAATACCCATAACCGCCCATTTAAATTTCACGGATAAAATTTGACGGATAAACAGTTATACTCATAACCGTTTGTTCGTCTAAACAGTTACCCATAACCGTAACCGTGAACTTTAAATGAACGGCTAACCGCAATTACCCAAACGTATGAGTATTTTGCCCATCCATGGTCAGGTTTAAAAAGTTCAATTTTTGCTCGATGTTAGAAACCTCAATCAAATGAAAAACATTTTTCCCTCTCGTTTTATATTGTATGACACTCGAGTTATATTGAACTAAAAAAATGAAGTCATTGATTTGCCCGAGAGGCCACAGTTACCGCAAGCAAACACATTAATGACGAGAAACGCATTTTTATTATGTTACTAATACTTGTACTTGCTCTGCAAACAAAACGAATAACATTACAGTTCAAAGAGCAAAGGATACAACCGAACTGGTCTTTAACTTGCAGTCCTTCCTTCAGTGCAAAATAGGTTATAGGTCCCAAGGGGATGACTCCTTTAGGACCCGCGAGTTTTATTTCACTATGAAGAAAGAAGACGAGTATAATCACAAACATTACATATCGACGAGTGAGTGATAAACGATCGTATAAATGTCATACAAACTGTCCTTGAAGCAGTCGAAAGACTCGCTAACTCAGTAACAGGGTCTAGCACATTTTATTGTGATATTATTATTTCACGATTGTTTGATCTCGGAGAATTGAAATGGAGTACCTCTAAAAAAGAGGTAAACTGGGTGGAAAGCGAACGTGCATCCATTGCCTCTCATGTGTCGCCAAATGTTGCCAACCGATCTCATCGAGCAAGGAAATCTTCAGGTCGTAGAACTTCTTCTTGGGAGGCTCTCCATCGTCTTGAATTACGTCATTCAGAACCTGCACTCATAAATATGATCAGCTTAGACCGAGAGAATATTTCCAAGCAAATACAAACCTTGCAACTACAAATGACTAGAGGACCAGATTGTATGTTTCTACCGCGTTCCTTACTTCTTTTCCGGTTTTGCTGGCTTGGAACTTATTACATTAACTTGTTTATTGTGCTGACATAAAATTAGAACTACTCAAGCAGTTCAATCAAAAAGCGTACCAGAAAGTGCGAATGATACTGATCCTATGAGATTATACATGGAATTAGGTGAGATGCAGTTTGTTTTTCCAAAGCTTAAGCTGGGAAAGAGAAAAATACCTTCAGTGCGGTTCCATGCCTTCCAGCACGTTTCTCACGTAGTACTGAGAGAGTTCCGTATTTGGAGGACTTGACTTCAACCCATTTTTGAAGTTCTTTAAAGTTGTTTTCAAACAAATCTGAGCCTGGTTTTGAAAGATCTTCAATCTTCTCTCCCCCTTCTGCAACTTCAGCCTCTGCAGGCTTATCACCCTGCAACAATAATTGGTAAGCTTGGGCTCCATTTAATTGTTAAAGACACATAAATGAAAATTCGGAGATAAAATGCATAAGAACGTCACCAAAAAATGGGCATAAGAAACAAATTGACCGTATAAGGAAAAAAAACAGTATAGTGAGTTCCCGCTCAGCATTCATAGGTATGGGGAAATGATCTCAGATATGAAAATACGTATATGCATATCCGCATGGCAATCGTAGAAGCTTTTCTATGAGAAATGGAAGAAAATAAAAAGTTCCTCACAAGTTTTTAAGCTCAACATCCTAGAAAGAAGTAAGCTTTACATAACCAAACATATAACCATCTGAGGTTGACCAACTCAAGTAAAATCTGGCCGTGTAACTTTCACATACTTTATACCAAACTTTAAAAACAGAAGATTAACCTTAGATGACTATGAAAGTACTTCGAAAGAAATTAACTATTCCAACCTGCAAAGATTCAATCTCTGCTAGTGCCAGTCCTTTCTGGTACAATGCCTCTGCTAATTGATCACGGGTTGTCTCCATCTTCTTTTTAATTTTCTATGACAAGAATCAGTAATATTTATTATTAACCTATAGATAAACTTATGAAAAAATGCTGGTTAGATTTGTTGATTCTCTGAAATAATTTTGGCAGCTCTTCGCAATGGTTTCAAGAAAGACAGAATAAAAACAAGAAGTATGCTTTAACAAATAACACACCTCTGCCTCTTCATCATCGGGATCACTTCTTAGTGCAAAAAATTTTGCCAGCTCATCTCTGTCAACACTGTCAACCACCTCATTTGCTGCATCAATAACCTGCAAAGCAAAGCACGTGATAAATGTTATTAAATCACTGCATAAACAAACCCCGCACCTTGAGCTTAGAAAGGTTGTATACACCTACTATCTATACAAACTCGAATCGGTTCATCATGTACTGAAAAATGATGAAGATGGGTTATTCAGCATGGAGATCCATTGCTCATGAACAATTACCCTAAACCCAAAACATGTGGCGAGGTAATCACGTGGCAACAAACCCCACAACTTCTAGAAGTGGAACATGAATTATATTTCTTCACTTGCAAGTTGCAAGTGAATAAAAATTTACAAAACTACATCATTCTTGGTCATATGGTTGTACTATGCTACCTCTTTTTCATGGGAGATTTTGTCCTTGTCATTGTTCCGAGAAAGTACAGCTTCCAATATCTTGGCAAGCAATGGGGTGTATTTAGGATATTCAGACTGAAAAGAGAAACATAAGGTACATGCAACATGTGAGCCATAGATGCTATAAAAACCTAAAGCATAATATAATAATCTCAATAGCTTGCCTCAACAGACTTAATAAGCAGATGCTCAATTTGAAACCAAATATAATTGTTACAT